GTCTTGAACTTCTTCATTTCCCTTGCCTTCTCAAGAGCACTAACTTGAGCTTCGGAGTGTTCCAACCGGGTTCCTCCCTGGAAGTCTTCGTTTCCTTCCTTGTTTCAAGCACCCCCGATTCCATCAGAGGTGAGGTAACCGGCAGCTAGGACCGATCAAATCGTGCATCATCATTTGGCGCCGTCTGTGGGAAACTTTCAAAAGGTCTCCCCAATCCTTTAACTCTCTGTCCCTGAAAGAAACTTTAGCTTCCATGGCTTCCTCCAGCAGCAATAGGCACAATGCCGACTTGAATGCTGTAGGGGAACACCGACAGCCCGCCACCGTATGCATNAAATATTATATTATTTATATATTTTATATAATATATAAAATACATATTATATATTTTATAAAATATATAATACTGAGTCGGGCCGGGCCGGGCTTTTTTGACAAATCCCGAGCCCGACCCGAAACACAGTCGGGCTTACTGTGTTAAGCCCGAGGTCAGGCCCGCGGGCTTAATTATATGACCAAGCCCGGCCGGGGTGCGGGCCGGGCCGTCGGGCTACCCGACCCATGAACAGGTCTACTAGGACCGATCGGATCGCGCATCATCATTTGGCGCCGTCTGTGGGAAACTTTCAAAAGGTCTCCCCAATCCTTTAACTCTCTATCCCTGAAAAAAACTTTAGCTTCCATGGCTTCCTCAAGCAGCAATAGGCACAACGCCGACTTGAATGCTGTAGGGGAACACCGACTGCCCGCCACCGTATGCATCGGACAGTTCATCGTCCCCCTCTCAACGGACGGAATCCCTAGCCTCAATGCACCAAGCATGGTGACACCTGTGAATGTTCCCCTTCCCCTCCCTATCGAGACAACTTTCGCTGAACCTACTGATGTCCCTCTAGCGACTAGCCAAAACCATTTCAATTACTTGATGCAGTGCATGTGGGCAATGCAAGCCTAAATGCAGCAATACCAGCAACATCAGCTCCATCAGCAACAAGTACTGGACTACATTTCTCAGTATCACTATCAACAACAGTTCCCCCAACTGCCTCTGAACCAACCACAGCTCCCCCCTCGGCACCCTACTCCGAAGCTGGCCAAGCCCTCCCCTCAGGGCGGGCGCCTTCACCGAGGAGGAGCCTCCCGACTCCAAGACCCCTCCAAGAGCCAGGCCTCATCCCCGGGTAGGAGGGAAAGATTAATCACCCCCGCCTCGCAGCTCGCCGGCGGA